TGGGTCACCGAGGGCAGGGAAAGGCCGTTTCCCCCGAGAAGGGACACAGCAGGAGGGAGCTTCGGGTGTGGGTGGGTGTTTGTTCCCAGCTGGGGTTCTTGGAGAGGCAGTCAGTGATGTAATCCTGGGGCTTCAGGGAAAGGTAGGATGCTCACAGGATGGTCCCACCACAAAGAACCCCCCAGCCCCCCATGTCAATGGTGCTGAGACAGAGAGCCTGGTGTGGACCAGGAACGAGGGGGAGCAAAGACACAGCCATGAGACCCGAGGTCAGGCAAGTGTTCATTTGGGAGGGAGCCCAGGGAGCCAGACTTTCAAGGAGGAATCCTTTGTGTTGGATGCTTCCAGGGGCTCAGTTCCATGAAGGCAGATGGGGCCTCTGGGTTGGGCGTGATGGGAAGCAGCAACCTTGCCCAGAGCAGTGAGGAGGGCGGAGGTGAGAGCCCAGTTGGGTGCGTTCAAGAGAAGGAAGGAGTCCTGGCCGGTGTGGCTCACTTGGTGGAGTGGTGTCCGGTACACCCGAAGGTCGCAGATTTGGTTTGCAGTCGGTGTACATACCCGGGTTGAGGGTTTGATCCCTGGTCAGGGTGCTCACAGGAGGCAACCAATCAATGTTTCTCTCACATCGACGTTTCTCCCTCTCCCTTCCTCTCTCTCTAATACAAAATAATAAAATCAATTAAAATAATAAAATTAATAATTAAAGAGAATGGAAGGGAGACCTTGAAGAAGAGCACGGACAAGTCTTTGGAGAGTCAGGGAGGAAGAGGAGGACTGAGAAAAGGCCATTGAATTTGGTTGATACAGAAGCAGTTTCAATAGAGTATAAAAAGGATAGATTGCAAGAGATTAAGAAGTCTTTACATTCTGCCAACCCAGGGAATTCTCTCTCCACCGTCAGTAGGAGAGAAAGAACACAGCTCTGTGGACTGAAGGGCCTTGGGGTTGATTCCGGTCAAGGGCAGGGACCTCGGTTACAGGCTCGATCCCCACCCGGCCCGGCCCATGTACGGCAGGCAACCAGTGGATGTGTCTCTCCCACATTGATGTTTCTCTCTTTGTCTTCCACTCTCTCTAAACATCAATGGAAAAACACCCTCTGGTGAGGATTAACAAAATACCAGAGCAGGAAAAGGTCTCTCCTAATGGCATCAGGGAAAATTCTATCTTTTATGCTCCCCACGCCCCCAAGGATGGGTGATCAGCACTGTGTCCTCCATGAGGTGTTTTTGACACCTCAGGAAGTGTCGGAGGGAAATGTTGATGCCGTGAGCAGGACAGAACACACACACACACACACACACCACAGGCCACACTCAAGCTAAACGGAAGAGTTCCGAGTCCTCCATAGAAGCAGAATCAGAGCCCAAATATGTGGGCTTTCAAGGGCCCGCATTCAGGGTGCACAAGGAGAGGGGGTCATAGCTAGAGATGTCAGTGCCATCACAGCAGGATTGTAACCCTGGGTCCCCAAAGAGGAATTGGGTGCTGGGGGGGGGGGGGG